AGTCATTCCTTAATTTAATTCCTGATTATAATTGATTAAAAGTGAAACAAATATTTATTTAAACTTTATTTTGTGTTGTGTTTTATTTGATGGCAAACTAGTCTTTGGAAACAAACTATTTTCTCTCATTTTATGTCTCGAATTATATTATATTATATTATATTCACTCATATTTTCATAATAAATACTATGAATTGAATCACTTTTTCTAATTCACAGTTAATTTTAATTATAATATGAGTTAAAAGTTATAAAAAAAAGTTTTACATTCAGTTCACAACTCATTTGCATACGTTTTGTCACATAATTTGTGAACAAAAAAAGTTTGAAACGTTTCGCACAAAAGGTCACCGTTTTTGTCACATTTGTGTGCAAATTGTGTGGACATGTCTTCGCAAAGCATTGGATCCAACACTGAATCCAAGAGTTTGGCCACAAATTTGGTCAACACTTCGGACACCAGTTGTCGTCTCCTCAACGATGATGTCTTAATCCATATCTTCACCAAACTATCGGTCAGTGAGTTGTTGCGCATTGAGACCGTTAGCCATCAGTTCATGCATTGCGTGGGAAGTGCTCTCAAGAAGATCAAGAGCTTAAGTATTGGTGGCAACAGTGGTAACAGCGGTGATGCCAGCGATCTGTTCCCCAAAAACGTATTCGACGACAATCTCTATGATTTGGTGGCAAATTGGGACAAATTGGAGACAATACTCGCAAAGTGTCCAAACGTTGAGTCCATATATTTGACGGATATTGTTGTCGATGAGGAATCGCTGAATCTGATGACCCGATGGGAACCGTTAAAACATTTATGGCTTAGTGGTGAGGATTTGGCTTTTCTTGTCGAAGTCGATACGGCATATATGGGTGTAGAGGAATGGGGTCTTTCGGCGGTAACCTCAATATGTAAGCATTTGATGATTGCTATGAGATATAGAGCCCAGAAGAATGAGTTGACCATTCATTTGAAAGCCGATATCTATCCACATGTCATGGATGTATTGCAATTCACGAATTTCCCGATTCCCCACTCCATTCACATCAAACCTATTTAAATGATGGCTCACTCGCAGTGATAATCCAATTGATTGCTAGATCTCTTGCAAAGCAATCAGTATTTGAATGTTTAATGAAAACCACATTTATTTCCTGTTTTCTAATCATTTGTCAATTAATCCCTTATTATAATGAAAAGTTAAACAAATTGTCATTTATATCGGTTTCATATTCTGTGTAATCTATTAATAACTAACACTTATTTTATTTGGTATTTGTATTGAAAAATAAATTGTATTGAAAATAACATTTTCATTGATAATAAATAGACTGTAATTCATAAATAAAACTCAATCATTAGATAATTTGTTTGAAATGAATGAGCATTTAATGACACAATTTATGGACACATGTTATGGGAATCACATGTTTTGCACGAAATTTCAAACTCAATAAAAGTCTCACATTTTCTTTGCATTTGTTTCGCACAAAACACTCGTCTCTTAAGACATGTCTTCAGATACCAATCAATCCAATAGTGTTGTTGTCGTCAATAGTGTCAACACTTCAGGGACTGGTAATCAAGTCCTCAACGACGATGTCTTAATCCATATCTTTGGTAATCTATCCACCAATGAGTTGTTACGGATTAAGAAGGTTTGCCATCAGTTCAGCGCTTGTGTTGGAAGTGCTCTGAAGATGCGAAAGACGTTATCCATTGGTGGCAATAGTGGTGATGATGTGGGCGATTGGTTCCGTGTCGTGGATTACATTGACTACAAACACAACCGATTGTCTGCCATAAGTCGCCAGAAGTACTACGATTTGGTGGCAAACTATTGCACTCTGAAGTCGATACTCAAGATGTGTCCCAACATTGAGTCCTTGTATTTGGCGGACACTCGTATGGATTACCTCACACTGGATCTGATTATCACTGGATGTCCTCAGTTAAGACATCTAGCACTCGATGGTATCGGATATCTGTTGAATGATAACTTCGTGTCCAATAAGTTTGAGACATACGGTGATCAGGCGTTGGACACCATCTGTCGCTTCTGTATCGAAAAGATGGTCAAGAAGAATGAGTTCACGCTTTACATGAGTCCAGAAGTAGTCAAAGGAGTTGTCGACCAATCGGTGGCAATGAATGTCTGGATTCCCGACAACTTCCACATCAAACCCTTGCAAATGATGGCTCACTCGCAGTGATAATCGCATTGATTGGTAGATGTCTTGCAAAGCATTCATTATTTTGATGTTTAATGAAAATCACATTTATTTCCTGTTTTTTCAAGTGATTTATGAATTTTATCTCAAATTATACTTAAAAATCAAACAATTAGTTGTGTTTTGAGTCCATTACCGGTAATATTTGGTGTAATTTTAAATGAATATTGGAAATAATTAAATTTTACATTTTATACAATTTAATTTAAATTTTAAACATTTTAAATAATCTCATAACATGTCCAACACTTTAAGCCGAAGTTTAACGCTCAGAGACAATGGTTAGTTGGTTGTGGTTGTGGTGCTGACCCAGTATTGGACACATTATGTTAGATCCAGTGAATTGATCCACAGTTTAACACCAATTCAAATGAAATACAAGTATTTGGTATCAAATCAAGAGCTATTTATTACAAACTTTAATACATACCTAATAACTGTAAACATAAAAAAGTTAATTAAATACAAAGTGAATGAAAATTAAGAGTTAATTAACATATAAAATGATTAATAGTTTTTAAACAAAATTAAATACAAAACAATTGAGAAATTTAAACATAAAATGATTACAAGTATTTTTCGTATTATATAAACTGATTATACGTTTAAACAAATGGTAATTAAAAAACAAAATTAAACCAAAAAATGTATGAAACGAATGGTGTTATCATCGAAACAAGTATTGGACACAAAGTCTAACCGCTGAAGGACTTGTTGCGGGAACTCCTCCTCAGCGCACGCGACGACTTCGACGTCTTCACCGGCAGTGACCTCTTAGCGGACCTCCTCTTGTGCGCCGATTGTCTGCCACGGATTGTCACCTTAAGCTTCGTCTCGGTCTCAACCTTGAGCTCAGTCTCCGAGTCTATGGTCGAAGTAATGGACGAACGGGTGTCACGTCTGGAGCGGAGCCGTCCCTCATGAGTATCGGCCATAACGGGACCATTGGGTGACTTCTTGATGGCCAACCGTTTAAGAGTCGGTGAGCACGTGATGGCCTGCAAGCGCTGCAACATCTGCAGCCGTTTTTCCTGCTTCTGGAGCTTCAACTCCAGACCCTTCAGCTCCTGAAGCTCTTCCTCGTCGGTGATGTCCCCCATCGACGAGTCATACAATCGACTCACTATACCATTCATAGCTGAAGACGTCTTCCGCATCATCTCCAACTGGCGTACGATCTGTCGGCTTAAGAGCAGATCCCGCGCGGTGTTCGCCAACTGTTTGGCCAGTCGTTGGGCTGAATCGCTGTCAGACATTGTCTTCAGTGATGGATGTGTTGTGACAATGGATTCAGTGATCAATGGATTCAATGAATGGTTCGCTTTAGTGATCGTCTGTTTCACTGAACGTCTGCTTTAGCGCCAAACGAAGGGATCGTTCACTCATTGCGTCCGACAATCAAAAAGTGGTGAAAGCGTCGCACAAAGGGTTAGTCGTATGGGAG